GTCTAATTTCTTTTTAATTATAAGAAATACGTTTTTCTAAGGTACATAAACTTTTGGGATTGACTGTATAGCCAATACATCCTTAAATCTGTGTTCCTTTTTTATCATTACACGTTGCAAGCAGAATTGTCTAAACAATATTCATTGTTTGAAGTACGCAATAGTGGATCGTATAATGACAGGTTGCCTCACGTATCCACTTGTTGCCAAGAGCAAACTCCACGTCATCCCAGTAAATGAATTGACACAGATCAAGATAGGCTCTGGTAGATTTTACGTCACGATACGCGTCCTTTTCATCGAGCTACCGTAGATACGGACCTCCGTAGAAGTTTTGGAAAGTCAGATACGGTGCCGCTCACAGCGAAAGAAAAACTCTTTATTACCGATACCACACCGTTAGAATCACATTAATATAGCTCGATGAATTGGTCGGCCAGTGTCACGTCGACCTCTGAGAGAGTCCTAACGCAGAATAGGGAGCAGTTATATCGCGGCATTGTGTGTGACGCGTACCGCGGCTCCCTGCGGGAAGTCCGAACCCGGTATACCGGGAATCGGCAGGCTCTCTCTCAGTGGGCACCGGTAAATATCACTAATCACTTCTCGATCCTTTCTAACCTACCTCGACCTCACCGCTGGAAGAGTTATGGCCGTTTTATTCAAGCTACCTCGGTCAAGGTAACGAACCCTTGCTTCAGAGGCCCTTTAACAGTTAAAGAAGCACATGGTTTCGCATTTAAGTCTGAAGTAATTCACGATTTCATTTACCGAAATGAAAAGACAGAATATAAAACTTTTTAGAAGAAATTATATTAAATTATAAGAAAGGGAATTGGTTATGAGACGGGAGAATGAACAACACACATTAAAAGAAACAGTGTAAATTTATTATCGTAAATAGTAAATGACGAGTATAAAACAGTATCACTTGATAAAAATGGACGAGCAATGGTTCGAATGATATTTTCAACGATTTAGACACTAGTAGACGAACTAGATGGTCGAAGACACGAACAAACGATTCCGTACGACAGCGGCCGATTGAGAGTCCGCTGAGAGATTGTCACCGCTAACGATGTACTCGACGCTCGTCTCCAAACCGACCTCTTCCCTTCCTGATCAATTAATCTTGATCGTGAAGCGCCTGTTGATCGTCGATCGGCCCATCCCGATCGCTGTTGGCCGATGATCGACTGTGGCTCAGACTGTCGTCGCAGCTCTTGCTCTCTCTGCTCCGATTGTCTAGGTTGCTCTCTTTCTCGCAAGCGCATATGTTGAGCGCCTGAATCTCTTGATCCAGCATGTTGTTGCTCAGTGCGTTCGCTTCCCTGGCTCGCTTGATGCACCTGCAATTGGTGCAACCTGACCGTCTGGATCTCACCGCGCCGCTCCTCCTCCGCGATCTGCGTCTCCTCCTGCCCCTCCTACGCCTGCTGCCACGTCGACGACGGCTACGTCGTCTACTGCCTCGTCGACGGTGGCTACGTCGTCTACGGCTTCGTCTTCGTCTACTCCTCTCGACCGGGATCGTTAATTGCGGCTCGGTCGCCTCCGTGTTCAAAAAATAGTGTCCGTTGTTCTTTTTTAGGATACCGTACTCAAGGCCACGTTTCAATGCTGCTTGCATCTAAAGTAGAATTAACAGCTTTCATATAACAAATATAACGATACATTAAATATAACAAATGATCTTATAAAAGAAATAGACAAATTGGGAATAGGAAATTCTATTGCCAATAATAAACTGAAGTTTAATTGTTAAAACTGATGAAGTATTCAAATAAATATATAATTCTGAAGAAAAATAAAAGTATACTTGTGTGTAAATAATTCACGAATACTGACTTGTCTTTGTACAGCCACCTCGGGCACGTTGCAGTGTGAATTGATGTAACTCATAATCTCCTTTGATGTAGAACCGTGCGCCTCCCTGAGATTTCTGATGGCGTTCACTACCCTCGCTGACATTTTCGGCACCTGCTTCACGCCCATTTTTTACGCCGTTTTACCTTTCGAGCTTGCGTAAACAAATCTCGCGGTACCGACCCGATTCACAGAGATCAGTGCCAAACGAACCGAACTCGGGACCGCGAATTTGCATTTGATCAGTACGTGTATTTTTGACGATCACTCGATTTCCTCAACTTTTGAGCGAGGAAGGTCACAAGAGAATTTTTGATAATTTTGCCAAAATCATCGTGTCCGAATCGAATCACGTATCGGAGGCGATCCCGCAGCTAACTGACGACTTTGTTTATTCCGGTTTCCATGTCTCATACTTTTCATATTCAGTCAACGTCACTTGACTCCGCTTGGAAATTCTCTTATGTACTCGTATTCAGTACGATTGGATGATTGTGACGGTAGAGAATACTTCCTTGTCTAATATGCGGTTCAGTGTTATTTAAAATGAAGTATAGGTGACCTGGATTTATGTGTCGCTGAAGTGAGCACGTTCTGGATTTCCAAGTTGCTGGAATCTTTTTATTACTGCAACTTCTTCAACCGCCACATTAAACAAAACGAATAAACAGCTGAGGTATTAATATCGTTCTTTGAAAAGAGGATTTATTCCAGATATTTTACACTCGAACGACGCTCTCGGATATCTTATCGCGCACGACAAGCTTGTCCGAGTGTTTCGTTTGGAAAAATCAAGTCGGTAGATGCGGATTTTTCGAATAACACCGCTGTTAGAGTGAATTACACGGTCGAAGTCATAAGGAAGGAGAAACGATACCGCAAATGTAACAGAGGATGAAGGACGATGAGTGTTACGCGATTGGTCTGATTTAATTCCTCTCCTGATACTTCTGGCTGTCCGACAAATTGTGTAGGTATCATATTCTCTTACTGATCTGATTCCCCGTTTTTCAACTATTACCGATGTCTCGCAATAAATGTCTCATTTAATTGAAAAATGTTTACTCAAAATTACGCTGTACCTGTTCAACGATAAACATATATACACAATTTTATATAGATATAACATATAAATATATGTACATAATTCTAAAAGCGTATAAAAATAAACTACTAAGATATTGACAGAGAAATCGCTGATGATGAAAGATAAGAATTAATGCTCGCAATCTATTGTAAATCAGCTGCAATTCGGCCATTGATTTCACCGATATTAATACGTATCTTATGGAAGCAATGAGCGAACTGCAACGGGAGGTATTAATTTGAAGCGTCTCATTATATAAGACTGGTAATTAAAGAATGTAAATGTTCCACCGAATCGCTTACTCAAACATTGGACGTGCCGTAATTACTTGCGCCGCAATGTCAATTAATCGATCGATTTTAAATTTCTCACCCGTCTTCGACTCGAGCTCGATTAATAACGACCCTCCGGTTTTTGGAGCAGGAGAGGTGCGACTGGAAAAATTCTGCAGATACACACTCTCATTCATAAGTCAACCAACAGTTAATAAAAAGTACAGATCAAAATATATATGAAAACAGTAAACCAAATGGAACTATCAATATTGAACTATTATTCTGGAAGTTGACTAAATAAGAAGAGCGTACTTGTCACTGGAATACCAATTGACATTATTGACTTAGAATCTCATAAAAAATGGGAAGTCCGTCAATGATTTCGTTTCGTTTCAACTTCTGGACGGGATTGTATGTTACATGCGTAATGGTTAAATTCGGTGATCCAGATAAGTAACGAAGGCAGTTTGCAGCCGGCTCGATGCCACGGCAAATTTACCGATTAATTTTTTCCCGGACGCTCATTAGCCGCCGTTAACGGCGTCGGGCAGCGCGATTAAAAAAAGCCGCGATTCCGAGTCCGCCTCTTTCGCCCGTTACGCGTGCATCCCGTCCAGAGACGCGTCTTGCCACCTCGCCCGGTAATTGGATAGTCGACGATGCCGCGGTTTACAAGAATAACGCGGCAATTCAGCCGACCGTTTAGCCTTCTACCTGACCAGAACCGATTCCCCGATTCGTTAATCAGCACCAGGTGTCACGTCGCGTCACGACGCGTCGCGCTGCGACGGCGGCGGCGGGCCTCGACACCTGCAGATGCTCGCGTCTATACGCCGATGATTATTTATCAACGTCGCGCGTAGACAAGAGGAACGCGCCGCACTGCCACGGACCGGACGTCGACGCGTTTAAAGTCTTTTATTGTCGTCGGCCGCACGCTTCGGTAATCGCGCGCCCCTTTCGTTACTCGCTTACATACTTCTTTTCACGCGATCCACCGTCCGCCGTAGGTCACGTCGAGGTGATTCCATTCTCGTTCCGTCTTCGTCTTTTCTTCTACCCACACGCGCCCCGTCAATGATCCCCGCGAAACGGTAATTCACTCGGGGAGGATTATTTACGAGCAACCAGACGCGGAAGAAAATTTATGCGTATCGCCTACCATCGCGGCTATACATCATCTCAGCTGGCCACTGCATCGCGACGCTCTTATTTCGACAAATCAAGCAAAATTTTCAGTCTGCTGCTTGATAAATTGGTTTCATTTTCCATGATCAGTTTTTCTAATTCAGTTTGTTTCAATAATTGGTTTCTCAATTAATTAAGATTTTACGCTAAAAGACGTTTTTATTAAAAAAAAAATTACAATTAGTTTTCTATAACAAATATTTACGCAAATTAAATATCAGGTATTTCTGAGAGATGCATTTAACGAGAAGATTGCACTTAGACAAGCGATTTCATGTCATTGTTGATCTTGATCAACGGTATCTGTATAAAACGAGATACAAGTCACTGGATCATCGTGAAATGAGATCATGATACGCGCAAGTCGTCCTCTGGTTTAACTTTGAAGAATTGCACGATATTCCCGTCACGTATCGACGAGATACTTAGCCGGGGGGGCTTGAAACGCTATTAAAAGCGGATACTGGCTGGTCGCGTGTACGGAGGCGACACGCGAGGAGACTGTTACCGAGCTGGCGACCAATCAACGGCATTGTACCTGTGCCGCGCAATGATTGCAATTGGTTGATTAACGGCCTTCCGAGCGGGCGAACATCGCACTGGGATCGGGTCCGGGGAGAGTAGCGTAACCCGTGACAGAAAATCGTCCAGTTTTACATACCCGATTGCATCGGAGCGAGACTGACGCCGCGTCTCGTCGCGTCGGTTGTCCATTATCGCCGCGTTTTCCGCCATTTTGGTTACATTATCGGTCGCACAGGAATTATTATCGATCGGCTCGGCCGGCGGTTTGCGCAATTAATAATTAATATTCCACGAATGAGCCGAGATAAATCGCAGCGTTTTGTATCAATTAGACAGGATTTTAATAGCGCGCCGGGAAGGAAATTATTATTCGCGCCGGGAGAATTGATTGCCGAGCCACTTAATAGCCACGACTGGCCCTTGGCTACATGTTTTTCCTGTACGATCATTTTCACCTAGTAGAATTGCTCCAGCCTGTCACAGTTACTTCGAGAGCTACGTGATCGTAGATGTTTTATGACGATACGATTTCTTTTATCAATATAGTCCTCACGAGCTCTACAAATTCTCCGAATTTAATTTTCCACACCGCATCGCGTACATCCGTTTCTCCAAATACTTCGACGCAGTTGTAAAACACGAGGCGAAGGAACGGGCGAGATCGTGAATCTTTTCACTGCGGGGGACACAGTTTCGCCAAGGATAAACCTGTTCCGCGGTTCCTCGAACCTCTCGCGCCTTTTGATCACGGCACCCTCCTTTGAGGCCCTGCAACGGTACACGCGCGTCGCGGCAAACGTAGCGTAGCGCGTCTTGCACGCGAGGCGTGGACAAGGGACAGGCGCGCGATCCTCCGCGTGTTCGTTCATCTCTACGAGCGGCGGAGAACGGCCGGGTTTTCGGTTGCTTGACTCTCGCGCAGGCAAAGGGTGAATTAATGCCGATGAGAGCGGTCGCAGTTAATAAACCGGACTTATTAAACGATTACATTAACGCAACCGTCGCCGGAGATTAATGCACTCGGCTCCGGAACGTCTCACTCGCGCGGCCGCGCGAGTGTACATACATGCACGAAGAAAGCCGACAAGAAATATGATCTACACGGTGTGGGCACCGTATCGCGGTAGCCTCGATATAATTACGACGACGACCGACCGACGATCATTTTTTCGTATCGAAAGGCTAACCTGTGACGAGTACCTTAAAAGATCCTGCTTCATCCCAAGCTTTTTATTTTCCTGCTTTACTCTTGTATCATTCGTAATTCCATAATCCATCCTCAAGTCTGATATATTACTGTAATGAAATTTATTTAAGCATTATATAAAAATGGAGGAACAGTCTATTCTATTTTTCAATATAGTGATATTAGTGATATGTTCGAAAGCTGTACGGAATACCAAAAGTCGTACAGCATAAAACTGGATACAAAATAATTTGCAAGATTGAAATTCATTTAATACACGAATCTGAGTATAAAAACTGTAAGACTTCCTACAATTTCTTAGAGATGCACGATCATCTTGTACGCGAAGTAGGATGTCGCGAAAACACGACACGTACGTTCGTGTTCGTTTTTCCGCGGAAATAAGGGAAGCAGCTAGCGACGGAAAGGGAACAGGCACGGGTGTTCGGAATTTAATAAGACGGACAGGGGAAAAGGAATACGGGGAGTGTAAGTAGTAGCAGGCGGACGAGAGCAAGGGAATAAGGAGGTTTGGCCGCGTCGCCGCGGCGGCGTGTACACGCGAGCAGGTGGACGGGAAGAGGCGAGAACACGAAACTACTCGGGCTGTGAGAGCCTGTCGGCCCACCCGCACCAGCACCAGCTACCAGCCGCTTTAGTCCCGGTGTCACGTGTTTATAAATAGTGCATCAACGTAAAACCCGGCGGTTGTAACCACGCCGAGAGATTTACCGCGCCTCGTGGCTGCCATAACCGATTGCCAAGCGAACGCGACGCAGCGAACGCGGAAAGGAATTCCGCGATATAATAACGAGGGTGTCTCATCTCGTACCTAGTTAGGCGCTACCGATGACCGTCCGAGATTTCC